TTTTTAAAAAATGCCTTTTATCAGGTTGACAAAGTTCCCTTCTATTCCTCGTGTGTGTTGTAGTTTTTATCCTTTATTCTTCTGATACAGTGTATTACTTTCATTGATGTTATAACAACTTTGCATTCCTGGGATTGGTTCCACTTAGTTATGGAGTATAATCCTTTTCATATGTTGCCAGATTTGGTTGCTTGTGATTACTTTATCTGGTTTTGATGTCAGGGTAATACAGGAAGCATAAAGTGAATTGAGAAGTGTCCCATCCTCCTCCATTTGTTAGAAGAGTTATCCAGGACAGGGAGATGCAGTGGGGACCAGTGCAGAGGGTTTATTGGAGAACCTGCAGGAAAGCCATTGTGCCTGATGTACGGAAAGTGGGGGGGGGGGGCTGAGGTTGTGGGATGCGGGCTATAGAGAAGCTTCTGGGTGGAAATTAATGTCTCAGAGAAGGAAAGGAAAGGGGCAGACTTTGAGCCAAGGCTCATAAAGTCTACGTGGACATGGAGAGTAGAGAGGGGCAAAGAGGTGGGAGGATGATCAGGAGAGTGGTTTCTTATAAAGAAAAGGAATGTTAGAAGGAATTTCCTGGGTCCTGTTACAGTGACTTATGCCTGTAATCCTAACACTCTGGGAGGCCGAGGCAGGAGGATCGCTTAAGTTCAAGAATTCAAGACCAGCCTGAGCAAGAGTAAGACCTCATCTCTACTAAAAATGAGAACAAAAGATTGCTTGAGGGCAAGAGTTCGAGTTTGCTGTGAGCTATGAGGCCAGAGCACTGTACCCAGGGCAACAGAGTGAGACTCTGTCTCAAAGAAAAAAGATGAAGAACGAATTTTTAGAAGTTCTGCACTAGACTGAGTGATTGAGTTGGTGGAGGCGAGGAAATGAACCGTTTGTAGGCTCTTCTGGGAAGTTCGTAGAGAGGAGACTGACTGTGGGGACAGCAGGTGTCAAAAGTTTTTGTTTTCTTTCTTGACAACTTTGCATTTTGATATAATTTCATACCTTCAAAAATTGCAAGGCTAATACCAGGAATTCTCTAATAGCATTTTCAAGATTTACCAGTTGTCTCATTTATGCCTTTTTCTTTGTCATTCTCTCCCATGCCCTGTGTGTGTCATATGACTGTCCCTTTGTCATGCAGTCAGCCTACATTTATAAAAACAGTAG